CGGAGAAGCCATACAGCGTTTCTAGAGTGTTTCTAGAGCAGTTTTGCCATTCTCTTGCCAAATCATTAACACAAACTTTCCAAGGTGAACTGCTGTAATTCTCCTGCAAATGGTTCAAGTCATTAAAAAAAAAAAAAATACAACCGCTTTACTTTTACAGAAATACGACGTCAAAAATATAAGTGGACTGTGGATTTTCTCCTCTGCAACCCAAAATCATTAAACTTTATTAGTTTCCTTACCATAGTAAGAGCAGAAACTGAAACCTAAAGGCAGGCCTTTATTAAACAGCAACATTCTTGCAAATTTTATTTTTATTCTGCTTTAGGTTTCTTTCAACCACATTTTCCAAAAGATTAAGGCCAGCTGCTGTGTCAGGGAAACAATTAATGATTTGGGACACCTCAACATCCATGTGCACTAGCTAAGACCCTTCCTTTTATTATTCTTTTTTACTTCATTTTTACAAGCTAAGTTTGTGCTGGAAATTAGATTCCTTTTCTGTGATCTAAGCTGGTCAGGCATATCAGGAAAATACTAAGCTATGGAGATTTTGCATCAGTGCCATGTTTCAGTTTTGTACAATACTTCAAACCAAATTTGTGCCTAAAGTACAAATGAATTATCTCATTTATCCTGACATTTATCAGCCTGATATTCAAAGCACAGCTTCAAAGACATGATTAGAGGAGATCAGCGCACTAGCCCTAAATATTTACTTCATTTCTAGGCCTCAAATCTTTAATTTTGTTGTTAAAAAAGGCACAAGCCTGGCCTAGCACTGGATTAGATTAAAGAAAACTTCAAGAAACCAGAAGAGACATGCCAAACACACCAAAAGATTATTTGAGGGAACTGGAAGTCAAAAGCCAAGGTAAACATTTCCAAACACACAGTGAACTTGTGAAATGAGTGAATGTGTGAGGTTTGAAAAGTTAGTAATAAAGATGATAATCCAGACGCTTTGAGAAGACATGGACTTCCATCCTATTTTTGGTTGAGCAATGTGTTGCTTAATAATGAAATGACAGGTATGTGGTATTTTTAACACAAATCAATAGAGGGGGGGAAATAACAGCCGCTGTCTTTTGATAAGCCATTTGCACCTTAAGGCTCAACAGACCTTTAATTTTGGGTACCTATTTTTATATGACCAACCTGAAGGGCTTTAGATCTGCTTTTCCTACGACCTGAATGTCCACAGCATTTCTTTGGACACGCAACAAACTGGAAAGGCAAAATTTCAAGTCTGAAAGCCCAACATATATGGCACCCAAATTTCGTAGCTCCTCCCGAGAGAACTGGTTGTAACCCCTCTGCTTCAGTTTTTGTCTGATACACAGAAAAAAAGCCTGTCTTCTTCAGAGAAGCGTGATCGGGAGCACGTAGTAATTGCGCTCTGAATTTAAGAAATCAGCGTTTTTGCAAAGGGTGAAAAATTTGCTTTGTCTTATGAAACGTATTTCCTTAGAATAATTCCTATTCGTTTTACTACAATGAGCAAATGTCTTTCAGTATACAGACAATAAAAACACAATTTAAGCCACAGACTTATGTGAAAAGTGATGCAATGCATCAGTACACATCCACAGGGCGGTTTCTGGCCAAACAGCGCACATTAAAGCTTTGCAGAGAATGTCTCATTTCTGATAAATATTCAACCTTTATCTTTCCCAATAACTTTTATGCTTGTGTTTTCAACTGCCTCCCTTCTCCCCCACCCAATTCTGATCCTCACGCTCCAGATCAGCAGCACATTAGTTCAGCAGAGGTTGCAGTGCTGAGACCGGAGCTCGCCACGGAGTGAAGCAGGATTTATGTCAGATACGGATACCAGAATATGACTGAGCATATTCTCATCACAGCCGGCCTGAAATGACATTATCTGAACTTTAGGCGGAGTTATACGTAAATGCTGTCAATACTCTTACCAACATGGCAAGAAACGTATCATTATCGAGCTCGGTAATTTATACGTATCCATACTGCATTCCACATTCGGGCAAATTTAAACACTGGAAAGTACTTCTGTACTTCTACGGCTTGGCATTTAGTGCCTTTTTGCGGTATTTTCTGTGAAATCTTGGCAAACGTCCAGATTCCAACAGGTGACTCTTCAGGCTGAGACTCTTGCGAATATGTTAAACCCCCTTTACAGCAACTTACTTTTCTGTCATTAGGTTCAACGTTTTCACCTTCATAGTCACCCTTTAAAAAAAGAAAATCTGCGTCATTCAGTGAGTCGCGCCCAGAGGTGCTCTGCATCTTGCATACCCATGTATCCCACTCACTTAATGCATCAAAAACAGAAAAAGCAATCTGTAAAATAATGCTGTATTTTAGGAGTTCATTTGTCATAGCGCACTTTGTCTTCTGTCGTCAGGCACATTAAGAAAGAGTAATAATGTCTGTCACTGGGGAAAAAGGAATGAATAAGTGATAAAGGCGGCCTAAAAATGTCAAGGGAAAGGATGCGGTATTGCCACGGTATTTGGGGTTCAGCTCAGTCCACTTGAAAGAGAAGAGACCAGCCAAGAGAGCTGATCCCTATCCAGACTCTCCAAACACTCAGGGCTGATTAGATTTGAGGTTTTAATTTGGAGCTATTTTTAAATACGATAAAGGAGTAAACTAAGACAATAAATAACTTATATACAAGACTATCAGTAGCTGTCTAAAGACACGAGACAAGCTCATGCAGAGAAGTTTATTTAACCTTTCTGGATTTCTAAGCGATATCGCTGTAGTTTAAGAGTGCCTGACATTTATGATAAACATCAGGCAAATAAAGAGGCTGTTCTGGTCTCGGTTACACCGAGATAAAACACTCGCGGTCCCATGTAAAACCAGTGCGAGTTGAGCGGAGCAGAAAACTAGGAAGACACACTTCATCTTCACATCCCACACTGGAAAAACGGCACCAGGCTCGACAGCCCCTGTGCGCTCACACAGCCAGTACATCGTGAGCAGCACGACTGCCACGTCCCCTCGACATCTGTCAAGCCTTTCTGTAAGGGTCTAGCTAAGAGCGTCTGTTTGTCAGTTCTAGTCGTACCTTGAACCTCTAAGTAAAAATGTCATCAGCATCCGACTGCTGTGCACCTCTGGCAGGATGGGGATCCCCAACTCGGGTATGAGTGCCACCAAAATTCCCTGCCTCTCTCTAATCCTCTTGACGAACACTATAGTTGAACACACTCTTCACATCTTACTGAACTGCTCAAAAGCAGATTTCATCAGTAAGAAGGTCTGCGGTCACATCCAGTCCCATGAAATACGTCACTTCAAATTCTTGCTTATGGTTTTTCCTCCAGCGGCAACCAATCGCACGGACACATAGCCACTGACATCTCCGTACTTGCAAGGGGAATGCCAGGGAGATGTGGATGAGGGAACTAGCCACTTGGTGCCCCAGGAATAACTATGTTTCCTAGCACTGATGCCAGGGACCTCGGGAGCAGAAGGTCAGAAAGTAACAGAAGCATTTTGTTTGCTAAGCCACCAAAACAACTCTTCTAACGTTACATTCAAATGTCACTTGTGATCATCAAGGGTAGAACAGAGGTGGGGAATTCATTAAAAGTGAGCAGAGTGCTGGAAACGACCTGCAGAAGTTACTGCGATCGCAATACAAGTGAGCAGGAGGTCAGGATCCGAACACTGGTGTTTGGGATGATGCCGTTAATACGTAACACATTAAGGATTTCTTGGTGTCAGATAGTAGACGTGTACAATATATTCCAAGATCACTTACATCATGCAAAGGATATGCAGCACTGTAAACTCCATTGGCAAGCAGACTGGTGATCCCTTGAAAAATAAAGACATGATAGTTATTTACAATTTCGAGGTTAGACAGTCTCACTTTATCATCCTTCCTGGAGATTTCCCTCAAAATAACAGTCATTTGGTCAGATAATGATTTTTCTGCCATCTCATTCCTTTCCATGTAGTTTCATTTTTAATCATATAGGTTATTAAACATTACTCATTTTATGAAATGGAAAACTGCAGAGAGCAAGAGGAAGTCATATATATTTGAGAATCAAGAATTAGAAGCCAATGACTTGAAATTAGTCATTAAAATAAATTACATTTTCTGAAAGGTCAGTTTGATTTAAGGGCAAGCCTGCAGATTTGAAAGTGTGTAGCAGAAGGCTCGATCACAAGAAGAATATGGCTGGAATTGATGGCATACGGGAACACGCATACGCACGCATCATCCACACAAAGTTTTGAATTGACA